GGCACAAGAGCAAGTAAACATCCCAGTGTAGAGCAGGGAGGGACCCGACCCTGGCTGAGATGCTGTTGACAGTTGATGCTCTTAGGGGAGGGAGACTGAGTTGCTTTAGGGTGTGGTCCTTGGTAGGTAGACGGAGCTCCAGTGGATGACCCCACACCCAGGAGTTTATGGGCAGCTCAAAACTGGATGGGTTATTTAAAAAAGAAGACAAGGAAGAATATGGAGTTGGGAGGGGTGGGGGCAAGGGTGTGGATTCTAAAACACGGCCTAAACTTACAGGAAAGCCCACAGAACCAAGCTGAGCAGGGTGGCACAGATCTGTAATCCCAGCACTTGAGAAGTGGAGGTATCTTCAGCGGGAGCAGGAGTTCAAGACGACCTCTGGCTCCTGCACAGCAAGTTCAAGGCCTGCCTGAGCTACACAAGACACTATGTAAAAGAAAAGATTTTAAAAAGCAGTGCCAGGGTGGAGGATGTAACTCAGGGTCGAGAGCTCAAATAGGTTCAGGAAGCCCTGAGCACCTGCAAACAAAGCCTGGGATGCAAGCCAGTGCTCCTAGCACTAGGGGTAGAAGCAGGAAGGTCAGAAAGTCAGAGGGTCAGGGTCATCCTTAGCTACAGAGTGACTGTGAGGTTGATCTTGGCAACGTGAGATGCTGTCTGAAAAAACAAACAAAGCTAGAGCATGGAGAAGCTTCTGGGGCAGGAGTGACCGGGTTTCACTGAAATGGCTTTCTTGAGCTCAGCAGGGTTCCATCAAGGAAAACAAAACACTTGGGAGGTTGAGAGGGGATCTTACTCTAAGACTCGGACAGAAAGAGCTGCTGGGAAGGTGAAGATTGCTGGCCACCTGGCTCCTTAGCAAAGCGCCTGGGACTCTAATCTGAAGCTGGTGGGGGCGGGGCGGCTGTGAGACTGGGGATGTGGACAGACGGATCATTGGAAGATGTTCTTTTAGGAGGCGTTTGGTCTTGAACAGACCTAAAGTGCTGAGGGGGTAGCTCAGTGGTGGAGAGAGCCCTTGTGTGGGAGGCACAGGTCTTAGGTTTGCTCCCCTGTCATCCCCCCTCCCCTGTGAAAACTCTTCAGAATGTTCATCTGGTTTAAACAGACATAAATGCCACATCCCTCCAGCTGGACTGGCTCCATTTGTTACTTCTTGAGAACTCGCCGTTTTAATCCGTCTCTCTTCCCTGGGGAGGTCTGAGTTAGCAGAGACTCAAATGTAAATGTGTTCACGGAGGGAGCTCTGTTGTCAAACAGGGCAAAGGCAGGGGTTGCTGGTTACCAGTTCATGTCTGAAGACACACTGGCTGTTGGAGCCCAGACCTCCCTGGCTAGGTGCCCTGTGAGATTTTCAGCTCTGACCACTGAGAAGGAACTCCAGCTCACTGGAGTTCAGAGGTACCACTCAGTAGGACCCTGGATTCATCTTCCACTGTTTATAAGCCGCCTCTGAAAGGGCTGGAAACCAGCCTGGCATGGATAGGAACCATGGCATCTGTGCCCCAGGAGCTGCCTGTTATTTCCCCAGAATAGCTGGCATTGTGCCTGAGGCCTTGTTGATTCAGCCTGGTGCTGCCTGGTATACACCTCGTTGCCCAGAGCTCGTCCAAGGTCACAGGTGTCCCCTGGAGGATGCTGATTTTGATGTCTCTACTCTGCACTCTCTTTCATGGCCAAGAATGGGGATGCAGCTACAAATAAAGCAGACACGATTCCTGACTCTGTGGAACTTCCCACCTTGTGGGAGAGACAGCCCTGAAAATACAACCTGAGTGTTTTGGATAAAGATGAGGAATAAAAAAATGCAGGAAGCTTTGACTGTGTTGGCAGGATAGGGAGAGGAGCCTGATCTCAGGGGTGGTGGAGACAGTAAAAAAGGCAGGAAGGCCTTGGCTAAGAAGGAAGTGTCCTCTAATTCCCAAAACTGCTTGGGAGTGGGGCAGGTCAAAAGGGGGACAGAGTGACGGGAGAGACCTCTTTCACAGGGTCACCTGTGCCCCTCGGGCCAGGCCACACATCTTGACCCAGCTTCTTTTTTTAATCACATTTATTTACTTATTTAGTGTGGGGTGGGTGGGTATGCAGGTACCATGGAGCATGTGTAGAAGTCAGAGGACAAGTAGGAAGAGTTCGTTCTTTTCTTCCATCACGTGGGCCCCAGAATCAAACTCAGGTCATCAGGCTTGGAGCCACCTCACCTGCCCTGTTTTGTGCTCTGAAACAGGGTCTTGCTATGTAAGCCTGGCTGGCTTGATACACTCTCTAAACCAGACTGACCTCCAACTTTCAGTAATCTTCCTGCCTCTGTCTCCTGCGTGCTAGAACTTCAGTCATTCCCCTTCATGCCCAGCATCACCCAATGCCCAGCATCACCACCATGTCCAGCATCACCTCCATGCCCAGCATCACCCCATGCCCAGCATCATCCCCATGCCCAGTATCATCCCAATGCCCAGTATCACCGCCATGTCCAGCACCACCCTCATGCCCACTATCACCGCCATGCCCAGCATCACTCCCACGTCCACTATCGCCTTCCCCGTCTTAAATTCTCTCTCCCACCACCACCCTTACTCTTTCTCTCCCTTTCAACCTACTTTTGTCCCTTTTTCTTGCTATCTGCCTTCTCATGCCTCTCATCTCAGCCAGCCGTGGTGATAGGAAATCAATTATAGGAGGCCAGTCTGTCGGGCCTGCTTTTCTCCCTTCCTTAATGAGACTCTGGGCAAGCAAGCAGCCAGCCTCTGTGAGAACTCTCTAGCTGAGGGGGTCCTCAGCTAGAGAAGTCTAGGATATATATGGCTTGTAAAGTACTTGAAACAGGCATTTACACACACACACACACACACACACACACACACACACACGCACGCGCGCGCATGCACGTACCTATCTCCTCAGTGACAGAATTGACCTGGTTCTGTTATTTCTGTTTTCTATGGACATTGTTGTCTCCCAGCCACGGTGCTCCTGATAAAGCTGCTCCCTGCTAGGTTAATTGCGTATCTTTCTATGACTTCTGACTGTCTAATGGGCATTGACTTTGGGATCCTCAGCATGGTATTTTTTTTTCTAACAAGGCAGGTTCCTTGAAGGGACACACTCACACACACACTCTCTGCCTGAGGTTTCCAGCTCCTGTAAGACCTGAAACTGGGTGGCTTCTGTACCTAGGTCAGCTTGCACTGAGGTGACAGTTGCAAGTGACCTTGTCATTTGGGCAAAAATACGAAGTCTTCTAGAGCTGACATTCTGTTTATTTTAAAATACCTATTGGGAAGGGATGACCACCCAGATCTACCCAGAGGGAATCTACAGTGAGGACCGCTGAGATGTCTCTCATCGTCTCAAGCATTGGATACTTTGGTGGAGCTGTTTGATGAGGCTTAGGAGGTGTGACTTTGCTGGAGGACTTCCTGCTTTACAATGTGAGTTCTCAGGCTGGAGAGATGGCTCAGCAGTTAAGAGCATTGATCACTCTTCCAGAGGACACGGGTTCAATTCCCACTACCCACAACTGACAACTGTCTGTAACTTCGGTTCCAGGAAATCTGATACCTTCACACCAATGCACATAAAATAAAGTTAAATAAACTGTGCGCTCTCAGCCGCTGCTCCAGCCACCAGGCCTGCCTGCCTGCTGCCACACTCCCCCTCTGTAACTGTAAGCCCAGATAAACCCTTCCTTCTACAATAGTAAATAAATAAATAATAATACCTGTGTGTGGTGGCGCACACCTTTGCCAGAACTCTGAGTTTGAGGCCAACCTGGTCTGCATAGAAACTTGCAGGACAGCCAGAGCCACGTCGAGAGACCCTGTCTCAAAAGCATGAATATGATGTATTGAGCTGATAAAATGACTCAGTGTGTACAGGCGTCTTCTGCCAAGCCTGATGACCTGAGTTCAGTCCCTGGGACTTACACTGTGGAAGGAGGGTACTCACTCCACAGTTGTCTGTCCTCTGACCTCCACACGTGTGCTATTACATCCGTATGAATACTTATACATACACAAATGAATAAATGTAATTTTTAAAACCCCTGTTCTGGGTCATAGTATTGCATGCCTGAAAGTCCCAGTGCTAGGAGGTTGAGCCAAGAAGATCCTCAGGTCGAGGTCATCCTGGACCAAATAATGAGGCCCTGTGGCCCCTCTCCTTCAAAAAGTGTTCTCAGCCCTCGGGGGCATTTACGGATCACTGGTGTCAGCCAGTGCACCAAGGAGTAGAAAAAGATCACATTGACAATATGTACATGGTGCTGAGAGCGTCCAATGGGGAAGGTTGACCTAGTCCGGGAGGTCAGAGAGGTGCCCAAGAAGTCATGTGGGAATTCAGATTGATGAATGAGCAGGTATTAATCAAAAAAGATGGAGAGGGGGATTCCAGAAGAAATCAGCATTGACGAAGGTAAGGTAGAGAGTAGGGGCAGGTAGAGCTTTCCCTTCAAGACTGATCTCAGCTGCAGGTCTGAGAGTTAATTGCATGCTGAACCGTGAGAGCGGAAATGCAGCCAGCCAGCTGGTGTACTATTTACTTGCATCTTAAGGGCGATGTGGAAGTGAAGGCAGAGTGGAGATAGGCTGGTGGGAGGAGAGCTCGACCTGATTAGATCTGTGAGTTTTATAAAAGCTTATTCTGGCTGCGAGGATGCTGAGGTCAAATCCAGTGATTAAAGGCTTGAGGAGCTGCTGATGGGCTCGAGGTGAGGAAAGGAGGGCAGCCTTGGATAGCGCCTTGGCTGCTCAGCTCAGCTGTCCCCTCCCATCTTGACCTCCAGAACACCAAATCTCCCTTCCGTGTTGCCCAAACCAAAGCAGTAGGAAGTGTGTGGGTGGACTATCTCAGGAGAAGATGTTTCCTAAGGCAGGAACCTTTCAGGGGATTCGTTTTCCTGACGCAGAGCACAGTCCCTGGATTTGATGTAAGTTTCCCAATTCACAGCATCGGGGAAAATGACATCTCTTCTTTCTTCCTCTGTCTCTCCTCTCCAGGCTTATATTTGGCACCCTCTATCCTGCATATTATTCCTACAAGGCTGTGAAGTCCAAGGACATTAAAGAATATGTAAGTACAGCCTCTCGTCTGGGGGTGACTGATGGGGTGAGTGGCTGAGTGCGAAGTCGAGGTAGAGGAAGATACTCCTTTGGGACGGGTACTGGTGACAGGAGGGAACCCCTAGTCGCCCTTCTTCTCATGTGACTTCTTGGGAGTCCTGCCCCCTTCCAAAACTGCCCCCATCTAGATGCTAAGTGTTGCTGTGAGGGACGCAGAGAAGTGTGAGAGGAAATTGCTTCTGGAACTGGAGGCCAAGAGCCATGGTGACTTTCTCTCTCCCAGCCTGGGTTTCCCCATCTGGGAAACGCTGCAGACCGCAGACCTCGCAGACCTCGGTCTGGCACTGAGGTGCACAGGTCTGCGAAGCCAGCTGACCTGGCTGTTTCCTGGCTCTCCAGTTCTGACCCCCTTCCGGGCTGTCTTCCAGCACCTGCAGTTTAAGCTCTTTGAGCATGAGGTGCTTCCAGTCACATCCCTCAGGAGGACTCCCTGGTTAGAGGGTTGCCATCATTACTGTTGGGTGGTCTGGGTGCTGTGCACATCATTTCTGGTGACCCCAGGCACCTCCTGTTTAGCCACCCGATTGACCGAGACGGTGTGGAATGAAGGATGCGACTACAATGTCCTTTCCCTTGTAGGGGGCTAGCCCAGGTCAGAGTGCAAGGGATGTGCGTTTGGTCCTAAAGAGACCAGTTTACCAAGTCCTAGCTCTGAAATTTATTGGTGCTAATTATATGCTAGACAAGTGGCTTAGACCTCCAAGAGCCTCAGGTAGTCTTAGCAGTGACAGTCCCTCCTCCTCTTAGAAGATGTTACTTGACAAGTTTGGGGTCAGGAGGATGCATTGTTTAGAAGATGGCAATCATTAATGTTGGGTGCCCCCAGCATTACCCCAGTCACCCAGGGGTGTAGATAAAAAGATAATTCAAGACTGGAGAGATGGCTCAATAGTTAAGAATGTTGCTGTTCTCACAAAGGACCAGGGTTCCGATCCCAGCACCCATTTGGGGAGGCTCATGACCTCCGCAGGCATTTACATACATAAGAACACACACACACACGAAAAAAGAAAAGTAAAATCTTAAAGAATTAATTCAGAGCTAGCTTGGAAGCATTATTCTCATGGATTTCCCAAGAAGTCTTTATGATGTACACCTCCAGATCAGCTGCATCAGCCCCCTTTTCCCAGTTTCCCAGAACTACTTGCTTCAGCTACTTCTGCCAGGGACTCCAGAGCCGCTAACTTCTGGAGTTACTTCTTCAGTCTCCAGTATGTGTGAGCACACTATAAATAGTGGGGAAGTTGCAAACACAGAGGCTCCTGGTTCTCAATTGACACAGCCCAGGCTAAAGCAATAGGCAGCTTCTTCCAGCCCTGCCCCTCCTGACCCCTTCCCACCTGTGGTGTTCAGCAGCTGCGCCAGGCAGGGACGCCTTACTGTGGTCTCTGCAGTGTGAGGGCTGATCCTCTGCAAAGCGGGGGAGGGGAGATGCGGGGTGGCTGAGCACGCTCTCAGCCAGCTGGGAGAGATCAAACCCTGGTAAATTGTTATGCGCTGACTAAACTCACAGGAGCCCGATGAATGAGCAGAATGGTGATTCATTAATTTAGAGTGAAAACCAACCGACAAGCAGAACAGCTGTCTGTGTTGGCTGGCACGTGCACACTGTCCCCCTGCGGGAAAGCTTGGGAGTTAGGATTCGAGGTTTCTGGGTAAAAATGGCATTGGGAGACAGGAGCTGGGCAGTACCAGGGGAGACCTGCCTCCCTCCTCTGTCCTCACATGTTTGCGCTCTCTCTCTCTCTCTCTCTCTCTCTGACACACACACACATCTTTCTCTGTCTGTCTCTCTGTCTCTGTCTCTCTCTGACACACACACATCTCTCTCTCTGTCTCTCTGTCTCTCTCTGACACAGAGAGACGGAGAGACGGAGAGACAGATTAAAAAATAAAAAAACGAAAACACTTTGGGGAGGAAAGAATTTGGCTAACACTTCTAGGTCCCTGTCCATCATTGGCAGACCCAGGGCAGGAACTCAAGTAGGAGCTTAAAGGTAGAGCTTGCTAGTCATGCAACAGTGCCTCTAACCAAAAAATTCACTCACAGCCAAGGATGTGCAGCAAAAACCATGGCGAGTGCTGCTTTGATGGCGCGATTAGGCTCCTTATTTAGTCCAGGACCACCAGCCTAGGGAATGGTACTGCCCACAGTCAAGACCATCGCCTATGGACACTGCCACAGGCCAGTTTGATCTAGGGAATTTCTTGATGAAGACTCTGTGGCACTCATAACTCCATTTGTGCGGGAGGAAACCTGGGACTTTCCTGAGACTCCACCCTCTCCTCCCCTATCCAGTTCCATTAGTTACCATGTCCCTTTGGTGACAGTCCCCCTTCGTCCTTAGAACCCTTGTCATAGTCCAAACCAGGTCTCCCATCCTTCTCAGCCACGCCTGAGATCTGCTTCCCACCATTTTCCCTGGGATGAGTCAATGGTCTCTTAAACTAGCTTTCAAAAATCTTTTTTTAGCCGGGCGATGGTGGCACAAGCCTTTAATCCCAGCATTCGGGAGGCGAGGCAGGCGAATCTCTGTGAGTTCGAGGTCTATAAGAGCTGGCTCCAAAGTTACAGAGAAACCCTGTCTCGAGGGAAAAAAAGTATTTATTTATTATTTTTAAATTGGTTACATCTGAAATTATATTTATTGTCTACAATTTACAAAATATGTACAAGAAACATAGGTTATTGGATAATGAAAATTTATTTTATTTCATGTATATGGATGTTTTACCTGAATGTCCATAAGTACAGGGCATCAAATCCCCTGGGACTTGAGTTACAGAAAGTTGTGAGCCACCGTGTTGTTGCTGAAAATTGAACCCAGGTCCTCTGGAAGAGCAGCCAGTGCTCTTAATGGCCCAGCTATCTCTTTATCCCAGGATAATGCAAAGACCCAACTCAGAAAAATTCTCTCTCTCTCTTTTTAAAATTTATTTAACTTAGTTTATGTGCATTGGTGTGAAGGTGTCAGATCTCCTGGAACTGGAGTTACAGACAGTTGTGAGCTGCCATGTAGGTGCTGGGTTCCCTGGTAGAGCAGACAGTGCTTTTAACCCCTGAGCCATTTCTCCACCGCTGGGAAGAATTCCCTTTTAAGGGTGCATGTGATTACAGTCGGTAGGATGACTTTGCCATCTCAATATCATTAATAACTCTGTCAAACCCTTTTAGCTCTGTCGTGGTCACCATCCCTGGGGAGCCACTTTAATAGTGAGGGAGACCCTTTCTCAAAACTGAAACTGTTGGAATTAATGTGTTAGCTAAGATTAGACACAGTCATTGGCAGGAATGCGTGAAAGTTCAGGTGTGCCCCCCCAGACAAAATTGATTTGCATCCTTATGGAAAGAATATTGTCATTGAAATCAGTTTTCTATAACAATAAATAATCGCCAGTGTTGAGAAGTAAGAAGCCTGAAGAACCAGGATAATTTGGAACTGTGCTGGACACCTGGCATCCATAGAACACCCAGTCTTTTCTATCTTTTCCTATTACGTTATCTTTTTTTTAAAAAATTTGTTTCTGTACATATTTAAATCCCTGTTTGAAATCTTACTTTGATTCTTTGCAGTTCAAGGTCAGGTCAGGAGCTTTGTTGTTTTTGTGAAAGGTTTTTGCTCGGTAATCCAGGCTGACCCCAACCTCATGATCCGTCTGAGAGCCCCAAGTGCCAGGATTCTCATCAAGACTTTGAAAACAGCTTAGAGTGTCAATTCTGGGGTCTCCTGTCTTGGCTTCCCTTCTCTGAGGCTCTTCCCTCTTGAACTTGTGGCCAGTCTGGCAGGCTTGGGCTCCTTCCCCAGCTCTCTGTCCTAAGGTATAGCTAACCTGGGTAAAGTCTAAGAGTTCTCCAAGGGTTTTGCTTGAAGTCTTACCCCGTACAACAGCTGCTCCCAGCGTGGAAGGTGTGTAGTGGAACTGTACCTGAATTAGGGAGTATGGGGAGGGTGGCGACGGGCGCCTCTGTGTCCGCTGCCTCGGGCTGGGCAGCCATGGCCTTGTCGACCAAGTCTTTCTTTCACAGGTCAAATGGATGATGTACTGGATTATATTTGCCCTCTTCACCACAGCAGAGACGTTCACAGACATCTTCCTTTGCTGGTAAGTGCTCCAGGGACTGGCACGTTTCAGAGGGCAGCTTTGTGGGTGGGGAGAGGTAGAAAGGACCTCAGCCTTCCCTTGGGCAGAGGAGCAGGGCCAAAACTGGAATCTTAGCTGCAGCATTTTTAGTAAATTACTCCATAAAAGTTGCTCAAGTAAATTTCCGTGCTGGACTTCCTAAGAGCAGGTGCTGTGTAAGGCCCTGGGGATGTAGTATGGACTGCATGGGCAGAGTTCCTCCGTGACCCGAGTTAGTGACGTGTTCGCATGCCAGAGAAGGAAAAAGTAATATACGGGAGTATGCATGAAGGGGCTGAGCCTCAAAAGAAAACACTAATGCTGTACGCATGAGGTCCTGGGTTCGAGACCTAGCACTGCAAGGCAAAATAGGCATGCGATCAAAATACCACGTTTCCTCCTGACCCCTGTGCTTTCTTTCTTTTTTTTAATATTTATTTATTATGTATACAATATTCTGTCTCTGTATATGTCTGCAAGCCAGAAGAGGGCACCAGACCTCATTACAGATGGTTGTGAGCCACCATGTGGTTGCTGGGAATTGAACTCAGGACCTTTGGAAGAGCAGGCAATGCTCTTAACCACTGAGCCATCTCTCCAGCCCCCCCTGTGCTCTTTCATTACTGCTGTTCACACTTGTGTGTCCTCATAAAACATTTGTTGGTGCCAGGCATGGTATTTTAATAATTGCAGGACTCTCGAGGCAGAGGCAGGTGGATCTTTCTGAGTTTGAAGCCATCTTGAACATAGTGGGTTCCAGGACAGCCAGGACTACATCGAGAAACTCTGTCTCCAAATAACAAAAACGAAGTTGTTGGTGTGTTAATAAATACACTTACACAGACTTTTTTTAATTTTTAAAGTTTGATTGTGTATGTGTGTGTGTGCATGCGTGTGTATGTGCGTGTGTGTGCGCATGTGTGTGTGTGCGCGTGTGTGTGTGTGCGTGTGTGTGTGTGTGCGTGTGTGTGTGTGTGTGTGCTGCATATGATGCATACATGGTGCATTGAGCACAAACATGCCATGGGACACAAGTGGAAGTTAGAGAAAACCTTGGAGCTGTCTCATCAACCTTGTACAGCAAGCGCCTTTACCTACCGAGCCATCTCACTGGCCCAAAGTTTTTCTTTTCTTATGGTAACTTTTTTTGTCGTTGTCAGGTCGGTGGTGGCAAACACCTTTAATCCCAGCACCTGGGAGGCAGAGGCAGGTGGATCTCTGTGAGTTTGAAGCCAGCCTGGTCTACAGAGCTAGTTCCAGGACAGGCCCCAAAGCTACAGAGAAATCCTGTCTCGAAAAACCAAATAAATAAAATGCAAAAAAAAAAAAAGTTTCTCTTTTAGGTTCCTAAGTATGCTCCTTATATGTTTTGTTTTCTCTTTTTTAAATAATAGTATTAGACATAACAGTTCTCAGTCTGCTTACTGACCTTATTTTGGAAAGACTTTCATGTGAGCATAAGCATATCTACCTATTTTTCAATGGTCACATAGAATTTCATGGTCTAGATGAAGTATAACTTATTTAACTAGTGTCCTTTTGGAATGTTTGAAGATGTATTTTACTTTTAACTGTGTATAGGTCCACTTGCGTGTGTGTGGGTGGGTGGAGGAGGGGAGCTGTGCACATGAGTCCAGGACTTGAGGAGGCCAGGAGACTGCATCAGATCCTCTGGAGCTGGAGTTGCAGGGTGTTGAGAGGGGCCTAACAAGAGTGCTTGCTGGGAACCACACTGAAGTCCTCTGAAAGAGCAGCATGCACTCTTAACTACTGAGCCTTCTCTCCAGTCCCAGTTAATGTCCTTTTGATGGACAATAAGTTGTTTGGCTTCTTTTGCTTATAAACAATACAGTTGCTAGATGTACATCTTTAATCTCAGTACTTGGGAGGTAGAGGCAGGATCAGGAGTTTAAGATCAGCTTTGGCTTCCACCCAAACAGCAGTGATTCCCATTCTGGATAATAGAAAGCTTTTTACTCCGAAAGGGCCAGTATGGTTCCCCACCCCACGGCGTCATAGGCCCAGAGTCAGACCTGGGCAGCAATTCTCTGAGTTCCATTTTGAGTCATTGGCCTCCAGGAGCAGGGCAAGGGACTCTCATCCCCTACCCATAAACTCCTAGACACCACCAGCTAAGAGGGCCAAGGAGGAACAGGTGAGGCCTCCAGCTGACAAGCAGAAAGGCAGGGATTCTACCCTGCCCGTATAAACACTCTGGACACACCAGGTACCACATATATTCCCACTCTAGATGGGATTTTACTGATGACCTTCTTCTCCTGATGTATGCCCATGTCACATGTACCTCGTTCATATAAGGTACTTACAAATGTAATGAAGGTTACTCAGAGCCCATATTAAGGCGGGGAGATAGCTGGATTATCTGGGTGAGCCTATCTAATTACACGTTACGTAGCCAACACACAGATCTTCCGTTGGAAGCAGAAGACAATTCCGAAGCCTGAGGAGGATCAAGATAGCATTGTGAGCTTGAAGAAGGGAGCGGTGCAGGTTAAGAAAACAGAGCCCGTGGTCCTACAACCACGACAGATAAAATACAGCTCACAACCTCAGTGACTGTAAGCGGGAATTGTTCCCAGAGCCTTCAGTCAGAGCCTGGCTGTTCCACACCTTGACCCTGGCCTTAGGAGGTTCTGAGCAGGGAACTTGGTAGAATAACGACTGTGTACAAGATCAAACTTACATGTCTCACCACACAAAAATCAAATTGAAGGGGGGGGGGCATACCTTTCATCTCAGTACTTGGGAGGCAGAGGCAGGCAGATCTCTGAGTTCAAGACCAGCCTGAGGTTCAGAACAGTGAGGACGACATAAAGAAACCCTGTCTTGAAAAATAAAAAAACAAAAACAAAAACCAACCCCTGTAGATGGTGCTGCGGGCAAGCCTGCTTTTCGTCCTGCCCAGCTCCCACATGGTTAGCTTTATACCTGAAATAACAACACACAAACTGTATTCTTTTTTTAAAAATATTTATTTATTTATTATTCATACAATATTCTGTCTGTGTGTATGCCTACAGGCCAGAAGAGGGCACCAGACTCCATTACAGATGGTTGTAAGCCACTATGTGGTTGCTGGGAATTGAACTCAAGACCTTTGGAAGAGCAGGCAATGCTCTTAACCTCTGAGCCATCTCTCCAGCCCCCTACAAACTATATTCTTTTAAACACTTCCTGGCCCATTAGTTTCAGCCTCTTCTTGGCTAACTCTCACATCTTGACTAAATCATTTCTAATAATCTGTGTAGCACCACGAAGTGGTGGCTTACCGGAAAGGATTCTAGTGTAGGTCCATCTTGGGCTGGAGCTTCATCGCATCTGACCCAGAGAGAAGAGGCATGATGATTGCCTCACTTCCTCCCAGCATTCTGTTCTGTCTACTCCACCCACCTAAGGGCTGGCCTATCAAATGGGCCAAGGCAGTTTCTTTATTAACCAATGACCTTCCTCCATCAACGCCCCCCCCCCAAAAAAAGAAAAGAAATCCAGACTCCTGCAATGGCCAGTACATGGCTTCTTTAAAAGAAAGACTGCACAGCTATGTTGTCCACACTTAGACTGCATTGTGTGGCCTTGCTGTGGTCTCACCCTTTTGTCTTGGCTCTCTCCTGGGGCAAGGACGAGTCTAACCTATTGTCTTAGTTGTCTCTGTCAAGTTGACTCGGCTTCAGAGTCCTCTGGGAGGAAAGCACAGGTTGAGGAATTGGCCAATGGGCGTGTCAGTGGAGGGTTGTAGTGATAGATAACTGGTGTAGGAGCACTCAGCCCAGAGGGCAGCACACCCCTCACCAGGTGCTCCTGGGCTAGATAGTAAAGGCATCTGAACAGGAGCCTGCCAGGGACTGAGAGAGCAAGTCTGTAAGCCACATTCTTCTACTCAACAAGGGACAAGCAGGAGCTTCCTTCTCAGTGCCCCTGTGTTGGGTCTGAGGAAACACTGAAGGAAGACCCCAGACTCGAATAGTATGCAAAAATAAAGAGGGTTTATTATACCGTCATGCGTGTGGGGTCACGTAGGGTCACTCACCTGTGCGAAAGGGCAGTGGCCCCAGCGGGATGTGTAGGCTGCTTTTAAGTATAGTTAAGGGGTGTTTCAGGGCCAGCTATATAATTAGTTTAAACAAGCAGCAGTTACACTAGTATAGTTCTAATTGGCTGAGGTTTGGTCTTATCACTTTGGGTCACATCTTCACAAGCTGGGCCACGACGGGGAAGGGGGCTGTTGGGTGTATCCTTGAGATACTGTGAGGCTAATTTAGGCCCTCTGTGTTTGCTTTTTCCCTCCACCCTGAATGTAAGGGCCTTGTAGATAAATAGCCCTTTGTTGGAAAAGACACGTGCGTGCGTGTCCTTATTGTGAAAGTGGCAGAGTTTAACCCCTTCACCTGGAGATGAAGCCGAGCTTTCAGTCAGGACCTTCACAGGAAGTCTGGTTGAGAAGGAAGTGCAGGCTAAGGATGAGGAAATGGAACCAGGACTGGGGCAGTTCTGGGACAAACAGAGAGACTGGAATTCCATTCGTGGGCACCATTTGTAGAGGTAGATTAAGGTCTGTTCATTCTTCCTTAGCCACAGCAAAGCTTTAGGAGTTGTTTTCTGCCTGTAAGCATCCGGTCCTGGAGGGGCAGGCAGTCCCTTATCTCTGGAGTTGTTGCATTCCTACACCAGCTTTCCATCCTGATTCAGGGCCGTAGCCCAGCGATAAGGATGGGCTTCCCTGGGCTAGAACATGCGGGAGACAGGGAGGGTGGGAGAGGCCACCTGTGTTAATGCTTTTCACATTGATCGTCACAGGAATGTGCTCTGTTGGTCTGACAGAGGAGGCCCAAGGGATGAACTAAAAAGTGGGGAGACAGAAAAAAATTGTTGTTTTTCAAAGATATTCTTATAAGTATATATGTATTTGTGTGTGTGTATGTGTGTGTGTGTGTGTGTGTGTGAGAGAGAGAGAGAGAGAGAGAGAGAGAGAGAGAGAGAGAGAGAGAGAATATGCCTGCAGATGCATTCATTACAGGCACATGTGGGTCCTCAGAGGACAGAAGAAGGTGTCAAAATCCCCAGAGATGAAGGTATAGGCAGTTGTGAGTCTCCCAGTATCGGTGCTGGGAACCAAACGCCCACCCTCTGGGCAGCGAGTGTTCTTAAGCACAGGATGTCTCTCCAGCCTTCTTGCAGGAACAGGAAGGTTTGAAAAGCTGCATCAGCATGGGTGGGATATGCCAGAAAGATTCTATAGAACAAGTGATCTGGAACAAATGGTTCAGGGAATCAAGATAGCCTGAGCAGTCCTGAGGGGCCCCTGGGAGAATCTGACAGGCATTCCTCAAACTCTAACCGTGTAGCCTAGGACAGAGGCTCTTAGTTGGCTGTAGTGAGAACGCCGTTACTCCGTCTATACGGAGGTGTCTGCTATCTACAAAGTGCACACAGATAATTCACTCCTGAGCCCCATGCCATTGCCTCGTTTGCATGTATATTCAAAAAAGCACACACAGGGAAGTGTGGTGGAAGCTTGGCTTGTAATAGACAAGGGTTGTCTGCTTGGAAGATGCTTGCACACCTATAGGAAGCCATGAAGAGGACCGAAGCTTTCCATGTTCTGGTATGAGACATTCCCCAATGTATACTGTTGATTCTGTGCAGATTAGAGAAAGCAAGGTGTTGAAGGAAGTGTAGCGATGCTGCCAGGCTACCAATGCCACCACCAGACAGCTAAAGGAATCACAGGTACCTATGTGATTGAACAGGCCTAGCTCCTAGTCCAAGATGTGCAAGAAACTGATGAAGAAAAAGTCTAGAGGACGTGGTGGGAAGGAGACTCTCCTGTATACTCTTACTTTCTTTAGCGTTTCTTAACTGTGTGTGTGCATGACCTACTTTTTTAAAATATCTTTTACATAATACCAGAAGAGCTGCAGTGTGACGGCTGCCCTTGGGACTGTCTGTCTGAGCTTGCTAGATTCGGTCGCCTTCCCCTTGGGCTGGCAAATAATTTGTTTTCAAAACAAAAGTTCCTCCATTATTAATCACCCGTGTGTTTCACTCTGGGGGAATCAATCACACCTCCCCTCTCTTAGCCCCAGTCTTCTGTGGCTGTGAAAGATGAAACAGCTTTGCCAGGAAAGAGCCCTCCCCACCCCCACCCCACCCCAGTGGCTTGGAGAACATTCAGGAAGAGTCTGCTGGAGGCAGAAAGCAGACAGGCTTTGGTGAGGTGGAACTGCTGATGGGGAGGGAAGGTGGGGAGCGTGAGCCTTTGAAAAGGCTCTGCCATGGCTTGCTAGGGATTGCTTTTTATTTTCAGCTCCTTCCTCTGGAAAGGATGCCTGGGAAAGACTTAGGTTTTGATCCTCAGCCTAGCATAAGGGGCCTCCTCGCCCACTGCATCTTGTTTTAAGGATACCTGAGATTCCTTTTAAGGAGATGTGGTCCAACTTGGGAACCTGAAAATGACTGATAGGAAGGGAGATATTTATTCAGCTCATAGATCCCTAGAGACAGGAAGTGCGGCTTACCACACCATACAAGGCCACCAGGGGAGGTGCCAGGATGGTACTGGAGGCCGAGGGTAGGAACAGTGGCTCTCACTGTGGGCACAGTTCCATGGGAAGGAATGCACTAGGAAGGTGAGTGTGTTTGGGGTTGCTGTTGCCACTGGTTCTGAGATACAGGTGCATCTCTGGCTCTGGCTCGTGCTCCTAGGGAAATGCAAGCAAGGGCAGAGTGGCTCAGAGTATAAGATCCTGCAGACTCTGGCCCGCTGGCCTGTGTGTGTAGCTGTAGGACTCTGAGCAAGGGCCTTTCCTCACCCACTAGCCCACTCTCACTCCCAGCAGTGATTCCCCTTTCTTAATAGACTGTCTCTGTTTCTTCTTTTACAAAAACAGAAATGGAGGATGGGCATGGTGATTTGTAGCTAGGACAGGCAGATATCTGTGAGTTCTAGGCTAGCTTTGTCTACATAATGAGTTCTAGGCTACTGGAACTGCAGGTGAGACCCTCTCTTAAAATGAAATAAAAAGGCAGCTTGGGGAAGGTGCTAGAGAAATGGCTCCGCGGTTAAGAATGTTTGCTGCTCTTGCAGAGGACAACTTAGGCTCTCAGCATTCATTAGGTGGATCACGACTGCCTGTAACTCTAGCTTCTGGGGGAATCTGGTGCCCTCTTCTGGCCTCCATGGTCACTGCACTTACATGCATAAACCCGCGCTCACACACATGCACACACAAAATCTAAGAATAAAATATTAGAAAAAAAGTAATGTTCAGAAGGAGCCTTGTGCTGGGAGCGCATTCTTGGCTAGCTCTAAGAATTGGCTTTCCCTAGTAAGGACACTTCCCCCAGGGTCAGCAAAGCCTCAGGATGCCACATTGTCAGAATTCAGAAAATCAAAACTCGTGGTAATCTACCGCTGGGCACCACAATATGATTGTGCTTATTCAGGTTATTCACAGCCCCAGGTAGAGACTGAGGTGGTGGGGTTGATCTGGGTCAAACCCTACTTACTACATGGTCCCACTGGTCTGCACCCGCTTGAGGGGCTTGGCTTTTCCATTTTTTCAAAGACTTGCTGTAGAGTAACAGAGACCCACTATGGCACTTGTCTCAGGTTGATAATATTTTATCAGGCGATCCTTAATTCAAGGATGTCAGGCCCTCTCCTCTTCTCTTCTCATACCTCCATCCTCTTTCTCTGTTTGTTGGTGTTTCTGAAGGGATATGTGCATGTGTGTGTGTGTGTGTGCAAGTGTGTGTTTTTAAAGATACACATCATGGGCTGGAGAGATGGCTCAGTGGTTAAGAGCACTCGCTGCTCTTCCAGAGGTCCTGAGTTCAATTCCCAGCAACCACATGGTGGCTCACAACCATCTATAATCAGATCTGGTAACTTCTTCTGACCTGCAGGAATACATGCAGGCAGAAACACTGTATACATAATAAATGAATAATTAAAAAAATAAAGATACACATCATGTGTGCTCGTGTATTTGTAGGCCGGAAAAGAGCTTCTGGTGTGATTCCTCTGATCCATCTACTTTTTTTTTGAGACTGAATCTCCATGCCTGTGGCTCCAACTTGAGGAGGCTAAACTGGCTGGCCAGAGTCCTAGGGATTCGCCTGTCTCTGCCTCTCCAGCGCCAGGGTTCTAAGTACATGCGACTACATCTGGCTTTTCCTTCTGTGCGGTTCTATGGATCACACTCGCAAAGCAAGCTTTCTCCTGACTTCACTACCTCCTCAACCAAGATGCCAAAATCTCGCCTCTTTCTGGAAGTTCCAAGACCGCAGGGGTCTGCGCCGCTCCCCTTATAGCACCATAGTTAAGCTTGGATAGGGGGAGGGGGAGTGTTTGTGGGACACACGAATGAATGGGCCCGCGGGTGTAGGAGGCCAGGATCGTGTGTTACTTCATACCTCACACTCTTCTTTCTTTTGGCACACACAAGAAAAGATTACAATCTCTGTGCCTGCTGTTGAGTTGAATAGAGTAAGTCAGATTCTCCTGCTTGGTAGGAGGCAGGCTCCTCTCTCTGCCTCTATTGAGACAAGAAGGGGAGGTACCGGGCCAGTGTGGAGACCCTGCTAGCTCCACCCTGCTGCAATTCCCCTGGTCTCTGTGTCTCCTGGCCATCAATAATGAAGGGTGAGTAATGACATGCCCAGATACAAACTTGACCCTCTGAGCCCACAGCTGCAGCTGGAGCCACATGCCAACCTCAGTGAGCAGTCGCCCCGCCGTTTCTGCTGCCAGCTGCTGTCAGGCAGAACCACGCTGCAATTGCTGGAGGGAACCTGCCTTCCTGTTTTTCTTGGGAAACAGAAACAAAACAAAACTCGAATTGGCTTTAAGGGAGAGGTCTCGGGTGTGCAGATGTGCATGTGTGCGCACGTGCCTTCCACAGGTGGAGGACGAGGAGTCTGGGAACCTCATCTGTGTCTGAGGTGGGAGGCACCCGTGCCAACCCCGGTCCTTCCCACACGGGCCTCGGGCAGTACTTCCGAGGATGGAATGGAAAGTGTGTTTTTCTTTTCTTTCCAGGTTCCCATTCTATTACGAACTAAAAATAGCATTTGTAGCCTGGCTGCTGTCTCCCTATACAAAAGGATCCAGCCTCCTGTACAGGAAGTTTGTTCATCCCACACTGTCTTCAAAAGAAAAGGTAATCGACACTGCTTCTAACAAGCAAAAAATAAATCAAAGTTCTGTGTAGAAAGAACTGTTCTGTTCCAGGAGACCCCTCGTGGTTCCTCTTTACTTCAGCAGGTAAGCTGTTTCCTTTAATAGCTACACACACACATACACAATCTTCCCTCTCATTCTCTCTCTCTTTCTCTTACTGTATGTGGGCACGTGCATGCCGTGGCGCACGTGAAGATCAGAGGACGGCCTGCAGGGAGAACATGGTTCTCTCCTTCCACCATAAGAACCCTAAGACCTAGACTCAGGTTGTAAGGCTGAGCCATCTCTTCAGTCCATCTCTCTCTTGATTTTTTTTTTTTTTTTTAGATAGGGTCTCATTCTGTAGCCTAGGCCATCTCTGAATTCACAATGTAGCTCATGATTCTCCAGCCTTAGCCTCCCATGTGCTGGGTGAGGGCTTACACCACTGTACTCAGCCCTCATGCCTTTTTAAAAGCACTTTAGTAGCGGGGCACTGATGTTGAATGCCTTTCATTGCAGCGCTCAGGCGGCAGAGGTAAATGGATCTCTGTGAGTCTGAGGCCAGCCTGCTCTACAAAGTGAGTCCCCTCCCCAGTTATTTTTCAGATTGTACTTTTATTATTCTAATTGTATGTATCTATGGAGTATTGCGTGATAATCTTATAGATGCATTTAATTGTGCTGACCAAATCAAGGTAGTTAGTGTTACTCTCTCGCTTTGTCTGTGGAACCTCCACCTCCTCTCTCTGTCTGTCTCTCTTCCCGCTCACTGTAAACTCCTGTCACTCGGCGGTTTCAGAACACTGGCGCTCATTGCTCCTGTCCATAGTGCTGCCCAGCTTCCCATGTCCCTGTCTCCTCTTGATCTCTGCGTCCACACTGACTGTTTTAGCATCTGCACAGGAAAGAAAACATGGTGTTTGTACTTCTGGGTCTGGCTAATTTCACCTTACTCAGCAGTCCTCCACTGTGGCCCATTTTCCTTAGAAAGATTATCTTTCTGTATTATAGCTGAGTAAATTTCCGTTATGGATATTATACCATATTTCCTCATTTATCCAATGATGAGCATATGGATTTCCTATCTTACTATTATCAGTACTACAGCAATATCTGATTGGTTCAAAATCTACAGTTACAGGAAAAAAGTATTTGATAGAATTCAGTATTCCTTGAGCTGGAGAGACAGATCAGCAGTTAAGAGCACTTGTTGCTCTTCCAGAGGACCTGAGGTTTTCCCATCACTCACATGGTATCTTACAACCATCTGTAACTCCAGCTCCAGGGGATCCAACATCCTCTTCTGACCTCTGCAGGCACCACACTTGTGGTGTTAATACATACGTGCAGGGAGAACACTTATACACATAAAAATAAAACAGATAAATCTAAAAATAAATATCTAAAAACATAACACAGTATTCACAACAAAGCTATCAAAATTACATACAGAAGGAGCATACACGAACATGATAAACCCCATGTATGACAACTCACTGCCAGTGTTATACCTGATTGGGGAGACGTTTTCAGTTTTGCCTTTATGTCTCAGATAAGACAATTTTGTGTCCACCACACTATTCCTATTCTTACAGTATTGGAAAGTCTCTCCATAGCAGTCAGGCAGGATAAATAAATAAAAGACATCCATACGTACAAGAAGAGAAGTCTACCACTTCTATCTACATATAATCTGATTCTGTTTATAGAAAAAGCTAAGGATTCCACAAAAAGACTAAACTGACAAATGAATTCACTAAAATCAAAGAATTAAAAAATATACCAAGGTATCAAATCCGTACCATGCACACCCACAGGACAAGACCGGCTTGAGGTGCCTCCCTGTAACCCCGCCCTGGTGGGTGGGGGAGGAATGGAGACAGATAGATCCATGGAAATCCCTGTGTGGAAGTCAAGCCACATCAGTGAGTTCCAAGTTCAGTGAAGACTCTGTCTCAAAAAATGGAAGGTAGAGAGGGATAGAGATATGGCTTCCACAATTGTGTGCACATATGTAAACACACATGCACACCACAGTCAGTAACATTCCTTCTTTATTATGGTATTAAAGATTGAGCCCAGGGACTCATGAATGCTAGGCAAATGTTCTGTTCCCAGCCCCTCAGTCACATCCTAACACACCAATGACAATGTTGTTGTCAAGGACATCTGAAAGTACTCATTTTGTTTAAAAAGTGTGTGTTTGCACATGTTTGAACATAATGGCTGGGCACGCTGGCTCACACCTGTAATCCTCACTCTCAAGAGGCAAAAACAGGAAGATTACAAGTTTGAGGCCAGCCTGAGCTACATAGTGAGATCCTGTCTCAAATAAAGTGGCAAAATTATATAAAGATGTTATTTATCTTTATTGATAAAACAGTTTCATAAAAAAAGAAAAAAAGATGAATAATTTAACTCCTCCCAAACCACATGCCTCTAGTTCCAGTGCTCAGAAGGAAGGAGCAGGTGAGTTTTCCTAACACAAGAGTGATCTACAGAGGGAGTCCCAGGCCGGCCAGGAACAAGCAGCTCCTCTCTCAGCCAGGCAGTAATGGCACACACCTTGAATCTTAGCACTCTGGAGGCAGAGGCAGGCAGATCTCTCTGTAAGTTAGAGGCCAGCCTGGTCTACAGAGTGAGTTCCAGGATAGGTTCCAAAGCTACAAAACAGAGAAACCCTGTCTTGGAAAAACAAAAAAGAATAAGAAGGCTCAGTTCTTTACAAGTATGAGGACCTGTGCTCATATTCCCCAGAGCGTGTAAAAGACAGGCATGGTATGTGTCTGTAACCCCTGTACTGGGGGGTGGGGAGGGGTAGTAAACACAAGTGGATACCAGGAACTCAGTGTCAGCTAGTCTAGCCAACGTGATGGGCTCCAGGTCCAATGAGAGATCTAGTCTAGCCAACGTAATGGGCTCCAGGTCCAATGAGAGATCTTGTCTAGCCAATGTGATGGACTCCAGGTCCAATGAGAGATCTTGTCTAGCCAACGTGGTGGGCTCCCGGTCCAGTGAGAGATCTTGTCTAGCCAACATGGTGGGCTCCAGGTCCAATGAGATATCTTATCTAGTCAATGTGGTGGGCTCCGGGTCCAATGAGAGATCTTGTCTCAAAGACCAAGGTATAGAAGGCCAGTTAAATTACCCATAGGATAAATACCCTGGCCATCAAATCTGACTATCTGAGTTTGAGCTCCAAAACCCAGATGGGAGAGAGGTTGTATTCTGACCCACCACTTCCACACATGCACAAGTAAATAACTGTAGATTTAAAATCTTTATTGAAGTAGAGAGCAATAGAGGGAGATACCCAATGTGCATGCATGGGTGCACACATCTCCCCCTCCCTAACATGCAAACAGCACACACACTAGGTAAATAAACGAATAGGGATGAGTCTCCAAGCAAAGAGTTACTTGTATTTTGCAATAGTAAACAATGACTACAGTTCATATCTGCATGGTCTTTCTAATGACCGCAGTGAGAGAACTGTTTACTTCTACTAGCTAGACATTGAGATTATTCCAATTTTCTTCCTGTTCCACCGAGTTTGTTCAGTTCCTTCTTATATCTTAAAATGAATTCCCAAGGGTAGGATTACTGGGCTAAATGATTCTAAAAGTGTATAATTCATTAATTAGATTATTTTCTAACAATTGTGTAGTAGGAGTCTGTCACATCTTGGATGTGAAATATCCCCTACAGGCTCCCGTGTTTGAGGAGCCGGTCGCGGCTGGCAGTGCTGTTGTGGAGGCTGTGGATTCTTTCGGACATGGGGTGTAAGGGGCAAATGTGGGTTGTGGGACAGGAATTCAAGTCTCTATCTGACTCTGGTTCCGGCACACTGAGATCTCTGGCTCCTCGTTGTGCCACGTAAGAAACAGCTGTCACATGTTCCTGCACTGTGAACTTGCGCAGTCCCATCACTGCGTCTTGCCCACCACGATGGACTGTACCATCTTAAACCATCAGGGGAAAAAAATCCCTTCTTCAAGTTGAGTCGTTTTTGTCAAGCACCGAGAAAATGACCAAACCCAGAGCTCTGTAGGTAGCGCCCACTAGTGTGTCAATGTCTGCAGTTTCTGACGTTCAATGCTTTGGACTTCCTGTACAGGAAGGCTCTGGAAAAGAGACCAATTAATTGGGCATCTGTAGACAGCCCTGAACATCCCCTTTGGAAGCAAGCCCACAGCTGTTCCCGTCTCAGAAAGGTGGGATTAGAGACTGGTACCTCCTGACTTGGCTGTCCGTCCCTCTTCTCTCCTTTCCCTGAATGACGGCTGTCTTTCCTTGGATTGGAGGAAATGCTGTGTGTCTTCAGACTTGCCAAGCATCACTCCCCTAGTCTTCTAGATCACAGTGGCTGGAACCTCTTGGGGAGGCTGTGAATAGGGATCACAGCAGGGGCGCTGACACCCGCCCCCACCCCAAACAAAGGAAACTTCACTAACTAGTGGAGCGCCAAACAAGACTGATGCCACACTTCTTACTGAGCTTTGAAGTGAGCCACGGTGGCTACCAAACACCCACTTTCTCAGAACAATGAAAAGCACAAAACAAAGAAATATCCAGAATACACTAGAGGTGATCCTGAATTGATCTAAACTAGTATACTGTCGTTGGCTTTGGTCAGGAGACCCCAGAATGGTTTACCGCCTTGCCTTTCCCTGGCTGTGTGACAGCAAACGACTTCAATTTCTTTTATTTCAGCATCTGTTAAAATCTCCTTTATCCACAAAATTAATGCCTGTTTTTTTTCCATATCCAGTCTCTCCTCTCATTACACACATGAGGCAATCAATATCTTGGAATAACAGAACTTGGGGGTTGCAAATTTCCCATCGCCTTTCCCGAGGATGAAGAGGATGGTGGAGGCTATCACATGTGGTAGCCAAGACGCTTGCCTTGTGAGCCCTCACCATGTACCACAAGGGAAACGCCATCATTGGTACCCTTTTCTAGAAAATAAAACATGTAGAGGAGCTGGAGCGATGGCTCAGCATTTAAGGGTACCGGCTGCTTCTAGCACTCAGGTGGTGCCTCACAGCCATCGGTAACTACAGGGATCCGACGCCCTTTGACCTCCACAGGCACTGCATGGTGTGCACATGTACATGCAGGCAAAACACTCATACATATAAAGTAAATCCCCCCAAAAATAGAAAAACAAACAAACCCCTAAGTTTTGCCACCGGCTAGCTGAGATCTGAGACTAAAGCTTTGTTTGTGGCATTCTGTCATGCCGGATTCTGTCGGTCTGTCTTGCTGAACAGCTTCTCAGAAAAAGGCAAGATTTCTGCATCCCTGGAACTTAGAGAAACTTTAGAGATAACTCAGAGCCTTGCTGGGTCAGTGAGTTGCTGTGTTTTTACTTACTTAGAATTCTCTTTGCACTCGGCCATAGCTAGCCTGTCTTCTCCATCCTCCATGTATGAACACATATTCAAAGTGTCCATGACCTCACAGGCCAGTAAGAGCAGCCATCGGGCAAGCTGCCAAGCCCGTATTTGGGAAGAAAGGTTGAGAAGAGATGTATCTGAGTTTGTCAGTTCAGTGTGCCTCTGCTTCTCCTCTGACAGGAAATTGATGACTGCCTGGTCCAAGCCAAAGATCGAAGTTATGACGCCCTTGTGCACTTCGGGAAGAGGGGCTTGAACGTGGCGGCCACAGCAGCTGTGATGGCTGCTTCTAAGGTACAGTACCATGCTGGGGTCTGACTACCAGGGCTGCTCCATACCCTAGGCCCCTTGGTCACCTGTGTGGATTGCACAGGATAGGCTAAAGACCAGTTGGCACCCCATTATCTTTATATTCAAAGGTCCCTTTAAAAACATGCTAGGGAGTGGGGTGGTAGCTGAGCACGCCTTTAATCCCAACACTCGGGAGGCAGATCTCTTTGAGTTCAACGCTAGCCTGGTCTACGGAGTGAGTTTTAGGACAGTCAAGGTTACACAAGGAAACCTGACTAAAAAAAAAAAAAACCAACTATGATGGGGAAAAGATGGTGATTTTTGCCTCCAGAACATTCTCCCCTCTTACATATATATGCAAATGCACATACACACATACATGATATGTGACAGCAAGAGTTTCCCAGAGCCCTTGAAGCTCCCTGTGGATCACAGGTGACGAACCTCTCACCTGGGCTAGAGAGATGCTCAACACTTGGGAGCACACGCTACACTTGCAGAGGACCCAAGTTTGGTTCCCAGAAGGGGGCTCACAGCTACATCTCCCGCTCCCGGGAGGAGCGTTGATGCTTTCTCCAGGTCTCAGTGGGTACCTGCACTCATGCGTGGATCCGCACACAGGCGTGCACGTAATTAAAAATAAAATGAATCTTTGGGGGGAAAACGTGCTCTAACCAACCTCCTCCAGCCAATCACCCTACCTCAGCTCAAACCTGAAGGATGTCCAGACGCTCTAGAGCTCGCCTCGGGGAGCAACATCTTGTCAGTTCCTTCCACGTTTCACGTGGCAAAGAACTTCCTCATTCTGTCCAATGGTTTTAAATGAGAAAATTTTCCTGCTTTGTGGAAGCCTTGCCTTTTCTCACAAAATATAAATAGGGAGAGAAAACACATCTTTTCCTCCAAAAATAATGCCCTCTATTTTTTGAAACAGATATGAGCTTTAAAAGTAATAATACAATCCAAAACTTCAAACGGAGTTCTCCATCAGTGGTTTCCATAGCGACAGTGGACAGCACCCAGCAGTGTTGGAGGATGACTCACTCGCTATGGGTCCAGATCTGGCTTTCATGCCTGAACCACCTAGGAGGCTTTGATTTTAAGCAGTGCTGAATCAGAACCCCGGGCAGTGAGCCCGCTGGGCCATGGATCTCTGTTCTTAATAAGGTCCCCAGGTGATTTTAAGCATTCGGCTTTGGATAGGTCACTGCCTGGAGTCCCATCCAGAGTAGAAAACATGGGTGACTGAGGTTAAAACAGTCTATTTCTGTATTTTTCCTGTGGCGCAAATGTAACACCTTAGAACATTAACCTTGAAGATGAGAAGAGCTGTGGGGGTGGAGGGTCGTGGGGTGTGTGTGTGTGTGTGTGTGTGTGTGTGTGTGTGTGCGCGCGCGCACGCGTACCAAGACATCATTGTGCAGCGTGAATCTGTGCCACAGTGGAACTGCAAATTCCTCTGCCAGGTTATGTGATCAAGGAATTGGTCCCCAACCCTTCTGCTGCTCTCTCATCTATTTTTACATCCTGTATACTAAGAGCTGTACATGGAAGAGGAAAGGTCTTTTGGGTACATTATGGATCGGTGGGTAAGAGCACCTCTTCCGGAGGACCAGGTTCAGTTCCCAGTACCCACATCACAGCTCAAAAGATTCTGAGACTCCAATCCCAAGGAATCCAGTGTCGTATTCAGGCCTCAGGGGCCCAGCATGCTCATGGTGCACAAATATACATGTAGGCAAAATATCCATACAATAAGCAACTTAAAATTAAAACAATATTGGGCTCTGAGCAACTTCCTTAGTAAAATTAATACCTGTGGAAGATGTTTTATCTTCATGAAGTATGGACGGACATCTTTATAAGTCTAGGTCACTGAGGTGTTCAGTGGTCAAGATTTTTGCTGCTAAGCTTATGATGATCTTGGAACCCAGATAGTAGAACAAAGGAACCAACTGTTAAAAAAGTTGACCTCTGACCTCTGCATGTGTGCCAAGCATGTGCATATGTACACATACACACAAATGTTTTGAGCTTCATAAATCATATCATTATGAAAATATAATTTCTTATTTCTATATAGTGCTGTTATTTTTATCTTGAAACTAGAAAAACTAAAACAAGAACGTCAGACATGGGCACTTTCTGTTTGCTGTTTATCCCTGTCCATACCATTTTCTCCAAAACTTCACTCTCTGTCCCCATGGCCTTGCTAGCTTTTTCCCTCTATTTCCTATTTCATAGCCCATGGTTCCATGCAGAAGGAAGACAGCTCCAACTCTTTAAAAGACTAGAATTGATAATCTCTCTTTTTAAAAAACAATTCTCTTGAAAGTCATTTGTCCAGAAGAGCTCAATCTCACATTAACGGAAGGCCCCAGTGAGAAGAATGTACTGAACCAAAGTTATGCAACCGGGAGGCGTCCAGAACACCTTACTCCCTTGGAAACTTGCCCGCTGCACTAGGTCCCATCTACCTGTTTCTTCTTAAACTTACTAGACCAACTTTTCTTTTTAACTCCTCATTTGACTCGAAAAACAAAGTTGCTTTAGTTCCCCTGAAGATGTGTCCTTGGGACAGCCCTAATTACCAGCCCTGCTATTAAAGTCAGCCATTGAAGAAAAATGCCCTAAGTGAGACTTGCATTCTGTGAATTGGAGATTGTCCTGCAGGTCCTTTTCAATGTGTTGGGGGGGGTGGCACTCACGTGCTTGCATGTTGCTCCCCCTCGGCACAGGAGCCCCATTTTTAAAATTAGATTACAGACTTCTTTACTTAAAAACTTATTTTATTTTAAATTACATGTCTGTGTGTAGGTATTTGCACATAAATGGTGTTGCCCAGAAAGGCCAGAGATATATGATTTCCTGAGCTGGAGTTCTAGGAGGCTGTGAGACACTTGGCATGAGTTCTGGAAGCTGGACTCAGATCCTCTGCAGAGCCGTCTTTTCTGCCCCTAGATTGCTGGTGTCTTGAGCCACAGGAATGTGCCTTCCTTTTTTCCTTCATTTTTCCTTTGGAAAATAACCAGAAGGGGCTGCAGAGATGGCTCAGCAGCTAAGGGCATTGACTGCTCTTCCAGAGGACCCAGGTTCAATTTCCAGCACCCATATGGCAGCTCACAACCATCTATATATAACTCCCAGGGCATCTGGTGTCCTCTTCTGGTATCTGTAGGCACAGCATAGGCATGGTACGCAGACTATATACAGTCAGATGAGTAAATATAAATTAAAAATAAGATCTCAAGAAGAAGAGTTAAATAATAGAAACAACAATGCTTAGTTTTGCAGTTAATTGGCATGCTAGAATTGAGGTCCTTGGCTGGCCAGTGACTGGCGCAGGCATAGCACGTTTCCATTATGGGGAACCTCTGCTGGGCAGCTGCCTCAAGCCCTCTGAGCATCCTTGGGTTCTCGTTGGTCTTGTTTCGCTCTTTTTTTTTTTTTGGTTTTTCGAGACAGGGTTTCTCTGTGGTTTTGGAGCCTGTCCTGGAAATAGCTCTGTAGACCAGGCTGGTCTCAAACTCACAGAGATCCGCCTGCCTCTGCCTCCCGAGTGCTGGGATTAAAGGCGTGCGCCACCATCGCCCGGCCTTGTTTCGCTCTTTCACCTGCAGCTACTCTGGTTTGGTGGGATGCTCCCCTCTTGTACTCACCAAGTTCTTTGGGGACTCCCAGGGAAGCAGAGCTGGGAGTCCTTGCCTATAGCAGCACCCATGCAACGGCTCCTGTTCCTTCGTCCTTTCCCTTGTGCGGGCCCGGTTTCCACACCATGAGTGCCATTTCCTTTTTTGACTTGATACTAGAAACTCACACTTGGCCTGCAGTTGTGATCTGTGACCACGGGTTAGTCAAGTTTTGGCCACAGTCTCCTCTCCGAATAGATGGGCACCATTCACTGGGAAATAAAATTATGTTTTCTCATTCATTTGTTTTATTCCCAGTCAATCTTAAAAAAATAGTACTCAGAGCTGCTCTTTCTAAAATGATAAGAAAATGGTCCTGTAGGTGTAACACAAGAAGGAATGGAAAGAGAAAGATGGGACTGGAAGCTGGGACCAGAGCTGGGCTGCACAAGCCTCAACAGGAAGGGGGAAGAGCAGCCAGCCACTTGAGTGGCTACTGCAGTGGTCCGTGTTAGAAGGGCAGAGAAAGGGGAAGGAGGAAGGATGCTGCAGGGTTAGGATTTGAGGCGTGGAAAGGGGTAAGCTTCAGAAATGACTGGAATTTGTTACCTGGGTGCCAGAGAGCATCAGAAACATGGATGAGGACTGGAGAGATCTCTAAGGATGCACAGGGCAGGCAGGGCTTTCAGCTGAGACAACTTTCTTGAGCACTCAGGATCCAGAGGGTCCTAAACCCATTTCCTGGGGGTGACCATTATGGGTGGCCTGACACAGGGATCTGGCTCTCCAGGCGGTTTGGTTTTGCCTGTTATTTCTCATTTAAGGGTGCTTCTCAAAGCAGAGGTCAGGACGTGGATCTTATTCCAGACCTTTCTGTCCACAGCTGCAAAATGAAAATAAAAACAGGAGAGAAATACACTGGGACATTGGGGCTGCTCTCAGCATAGTCTACAAACTGTTTCTAGAAGGTTCTCACTTCCTACTGTCCTCTATTGTTTTTCACGCACTACTCCAGAACCTTCAGTAGAGAACCCAGTTCTGTCCTCCGCCCTTCCCTCCTGGGATGTTGCACAGCTGTGAGCTCCTGTGCGAGGCCTCCATCAGACCAGCCCTGTTGTCCTTCCACCCAGACCGGTGCATGCTATGTCACCTTGGCCATGTGGTCTCTTGTACAAATTTCTGTCTTGATGCCCCAGTCTGACTGAGGTCCTTGGGAGCAGGAGCCACTTCACACCGGCATCCGTTCCTCTTCAGGATTTAGTGGAGTTTTGTCAGTATTCCCAGCATTGTTGTGTGTGGACAGAGAAATGCAAGAGTTGAGCAGTGAGTGCGTGAACGAGGAAAGAAATGAGGATCACATGACTCTTCAGTCTC